GAGCGTTATTGCTCCTGGAGGCTGCGGCCAAGAGCGATCTCTGCGAAGAAGTCATTCATACTTATTCCGTTAATTCCAGCAGGAGTCTGAGAAGATGACACTTGGAAACACGCGGATGAGTTATGAGCATGTTCACAAATAAGCAAAGCACAAGCGCAATTAGTGAGGCCAGGCGGAGCCTGGAAAGGGCGATGAAAGCAGCCGGCCGGCTCTCCGGAGCGGGCAAGGCCGAAGAGCTGGAGAGGGATCGTGTCATCCGCAGTGCTGCCTGAAAGGCTGGGGGAATGGGATGTTCCGCATGGAGCTAGCTGAGCTATTTTTTTCTATATAAATAAAATACCTTTGAGATGAAACTGAGACGAAGGGTGGGAGGCGAGAAGCCTTTGGGGGAAGTGGGGGGTTGCTATTTTTGGTAAATAAAACAAGCTTGTGGCAGAGACTTTTCCTCATCTTTTTAGAAAAAGAGAAGGAAAAAAGAAAGTATTTTTATGCCATGTCCTGGTTCTTTTTTTTTTTTCTTCCCCTTCTTCCCTGCCATAGTAGTGTGGGAGGACAGAAATCCCTGGGTAAGCCAGAGTGTCCGAGGTGGGAAGATGAGAGGGGTGTTCACAGCCATTGCCTCGATCACAGCCGTCCCCGCTTTGAGAGCATCACCCCCCATAATAAAGCGCTTTTACTTGCTTGGCAAGTGCATCTGTGACTTTCTGGGCTATCTTGCACCTCAGCCCTTTCTGGCCTGCAGCGCTGCAGACCAAAACACGTTATCCATGTTGCGGGGCAGATGCATTATGAATAAATGAGATATAAAAGTGGGTGTACATGCGGCGTGGGCGCCCAGGCAAGCCCTTGGTGTGGTCTCAGCACCATCTTTCTCTGCCCTGTGTCTGCATCCTTCCTCCAGCAGACCTGATCGCCTGGTACCCCAGGAGTCCCCAAATCCGGCAGGCAGCTGAATTGGGCTGCCCCTTTCTGGGCGGGCAGGCTGCGATGGGGCTGACTTCAGCGGCGCGGCCGGCATGCCTGGCGTGGGGAGAGCTCTGGGCTTTACGGGGCGTTTGCTGAAATAACTCCCAGCTCTTCATTCTTTGCAAAATGACAGATTTTAGCATCCCTGCGGCGGTGCGCAGGGCTGACCCACACCATCCCCGTGTGGGCAGGGTCTGGGCATCTCTGCACCTCGCCCACAGCCCCTGCCCCTGTAGCTTTTATCCGAGGCTGATGCCGGGTTTCACCCAGCGATGCCTTGGAGTCTTTGGGGGGATATCCTGCAGTCCCTGGCCTGGCAAGCCCTTGTCCAGCTGTTTTTGGCCCCGAGCTGGGAGCCTGGCTCAGCTTCGCTTACCCCTTTCATTTTAAGGAGGATGCTCTGAGTCCTGGGGATGGTACTGCAGCACACATCCCAGCCTGCTGGTTTCGGCTCCGTTTCCAAACTACAGGAACGAATGCAATGTGTTCATTTACGATTTACTGCTCGGAGTTGGCAGGTAATGTCCCCACGCCTTCCTCCCTACCCGCAGCAGCGAGCGCCGTTAAAAAATAGAAGCAGTGTTTGCCAGTAAGCCCTTTTGCACCGGGGGGAAACAAAGGCTGAAGCTTGGGGCGCTGTGTAAATGTCTTTAGAAAGGCTCAGGGCCGGCTGCGGGGGAGATGGCACCCCAGGGAGGGTCCCCATTTTGGCTGGGTGTGCCATCCCTTCCGCAGGCCTGAGGGTCAGGCGATGGGCTGGGGGGCTTGAGCCGCCTCGGAAGGCAAGATGCCCATCCTTTCTTCTTTTACCTTACCTGTTAGGTGAGTGCTTTAAGGGCAGAGGATTTGCCTTTGCTGCTTATACCACACCGGGAAGCAAAGCAAAGGTGCTGGGGGTGGTGTCGAGTCCCAGGCTCTTGCGGGAAGCGAGGACTCTCTTTGCACCCCGGGATATCCCCCAAAAATACACTACAGCCTCTTCCTTGCGTTGTAGGCAAGAGAGATTCACTCGTTTTAAGCAGCCAAGCATAAGGCTGAGCAGGAAAGCAGACCTCACGTGCCAGCCTTGCGGACCCGCAGCTCGGCTGCGCTGCGGATGAGACGGCATCTCCAGTTTTTTGATCATGGAATCACAGAATCATTTAGGTTGGAAAAGCCCTTTGAGATCCCCCAGCCCAACCGTTCCCCTACCCCTGCCATCCCACCCCCAAACCCTGGCCCTCAGCACCGCCTCTGCCCGGCTGTTAAATCCCCCCAGGGCTGGGGACTCGACCCCTTCCCTGGGCAGCCCCTTCCAGTGCCTGACAGCCCCAAGGGGAAGAAATTGTTCCCCATGGCCAACCTCACCCTGCCCTGGCACAACTTGAGGCCGTTTCCCCTTGTCCCATCACCTGTTACCAGGAAGATGAAGTGTGATTTTGCATGCGAAGACAGCCCACGCTGATGAGGTCCAGTTTAATTTTGGGGCAAGCCTTCCTCCTAGAAATCCACGGTGTCCTGCGGAAGATGACACCCAATTTCTTTTCTTCTTCATGGAAAAGGAATCCATTCCCCTGGGGATTATTTTTTTTTAAGTGAAGGTGATGGCTTTTCCTCTCCCCTTATTCCCTCACTTATTTTAGCAGCAGCAGCTGAGCAAAGTGAGTGATTCTTTTAGTAGATTGGGGGTGTGTGTGTGTTGTTTTTTTTTTAATGCCTGCTCTTTGCTGTCTCTGGACAATATTGAGCTGTAGCTCAGGCAGGGTTTTAAAGTGCAGGGACTCCTCAGTGGGCGACTTCTTGCTGGCAGGGGCGAGGGAGAGCCTTTTCTGCATGGTTTCGGGGAGGGCAAGCACAGCACAGCGCCGTCCAATTTATTTCAAGAGCAGAAGGGTGGGTTTGGTTTGGGTTTTTTTACTTAATTCCTGGGTTTTGTTAGCCGAGGTGCCCTAACTCACTGCTTCTCGGCTGCCAAAAAGGCAAAAGGGAGTTTTGCTCATCCCGAGCATCCTCAGAGCCTGCGCTGCCTGCCTTGGCATCGCATTCCCCGCTTTTCCCCTGCCTCCCTAAACACATCCCATCTCTCCGGAGTCTGGTGGGAATAGCTGGCGGCAAAAGCCGGGGAAAGAGGGCGAGTGGGACACGGAGCGGGATACCAGAAACCTCGCCTCGTCTGTGCTCCCAGCCCCAGGTTTCCCAGGCTGGCTGTGGTTTGAAGGTGCAGCACCCGTTCACTGCTTTATTCTCCGCTTCTGCCCCCTTTGAACTCCAAGCGGGTGAGGAAGAACTCGGCGGCCAAAGCTTAGCAGGTAGGCTTAGTGCCAGCAAAACCGCTGCTGAGCCGGGCTTCGGCCACCCGACCAACGCGCACATTAAAAGGCAGGTGAAAGGATGGGCCAGTGAAGAGGATAAAAAGGCCAGGAAGGGAAAGGAAAACACATAATGATTGCATTTCCTTTTGGGAAGCGCAGCTGGAGGAGATATCCTCATTTTTCCTGACCTTTTCAGGTGGCTGTTACAGTGCCAGATGCTTTTATTACCCTCGCTTGATGAAAACCAAGAGCTGATGCATCTGTTGCAGGCAGCAACCATGCAAATGCCCTGAGCTTTGATGTTCCCCGGGACACCTCCTTTAGCAGCCAGAGCAAAAGGCAGAGCCTGTTTCCCAGCCTGTGCCGCCACCACCGCTTAACCCAAAGCAAACCAACGCCTGCATTTCGGGGTGAGATGGCAGCTCGAGCCTCTGCTGCCTCGGCTGGTTGCATCCCATAGGGAACGGGGGCTGCTGCTTCTTGGTTGCCCTCCCTATAGCAGCAAATGCCCCGCTGCTTCAGGGCTCCAGCTTTAGCAAAGAGGTGTCTTGGAGGATGCTCTGATGGACCTCGTGCCCTCCCCATGCAAGAAAACAGTCGGTAATTAAGAGCAGGGACATAAAACGCTGCGAACTGGCACATCTCTACCTGTGCAGGGGTGCTGCTGCCTTCCCCAAAACCCCTCCAGAAACTCAGTCACGCCACCGTCGCATCAAGGGTCTGTGGGAAGCGGCCGGTCCACAACCTCCGGGGCGATGGTGACAAGCTCTGGGGGCTTGCTGGGGTGCCCCAAGCCTTCTCAGCATCATTTAGTCCAAGTTATTTATCAAGGCCCCAGGGGCCAAGGGTTTTGCTTTTCACTGCCAGGGGATTTAGCCGGAGGCAGAAGCAGCCAAGCGAGGGTCTGGGATGAGCATCCCCTCCCCAAACCAGCCCTGCCATCAGCCACCCCCCGGCTTCGCACACTAGCAGCCGAATGCATCAATTGGGGATTAAAAACCACACTTTGCTGTATTTTAGCAGCCAGGTTTTTCAGGGATTAAAAATAAAGCTGCTGGAGCAAGGGTGTGCAATGGGGCACCTCCTGGCCCAGGAGCGTGGGTGGTCGATGCACCTTCCCATGGGCTCCCAGGCTGTGTTTGGGGGAAAAAACCCACAATTAAATGGAAAAAAAAAAAATGAGTTGATGAGCTTTTGTGTGGAAGCACCCGCAGGAAAAGAAAGGGAGCGGTGATGGAGCACCCCCGTAACGGCTCGTGGTCCCCAGCAAGGCAAGACGAAGGATTTCACAGTGGGGCAATGCAGGGAGGTGATTTCAGAGGAAGGGGACCTGTGAGAGCATGGGAGACCCCCACACGCTGCCAGCTCTGGCCCAGCAGCCCCCGTGCCATCCCCCCCAAGCTGTGGGGCAGCAGCATTTCAAAGGATGCCACGGCCCTGGCTGAACCTCCCACCCTCTCCCTTTACCTCCCCAACCCCTTCCCCCCAGGGGAATTCGGGTTCCCTTGCCTACAAACCAAGCAGCCGATGTGCCCCACAGTTTCCTACGCAGAGGCCAAAACTCAGGTTTATTACGGGCGCTGCCTGCCTGCCCTCCGGTTGCCTGTGATCCGCCGGACCCGCCGTAATCTTGCCCGCGCCGCTGGCTCGGTACCCGGGCATCTCCTTGGCGGCGGATGCTCTGCTGCAGAAGCGCTTATAAATTAAGGAATTTTTTTTTTTTTTTTCCCCCCCTCATCCCTGCTAGGAGTCGTCATAGAGAGGGTTGTTGTAGTTGCCCCAGGAGCCGTAGTCGTGGTCATCCAAAAGCCTGCCGTAGGAGGAGTGCCTGCCAGGGGAAAGCAAACCGCCCGGTGTTACCGGTTGCTTTGGTGCTTTATTAGTTATTTTACCGTGGAGGAAAAAAAAAAAAAAATAAAAAAAAAAATGTGCAAGTCCTCACTAGGTCGAGCTTTGGGACGTTTTAGCGGGATGCACCAGGACAGAAAATCAGTCCAGGCAGGATTTTACCCCTGTTGGACCAGCCTGGGACACGCTGGGGAATTAAAACAAGGCATTTGCTCGTCTCAGTTGTTGGCAAAGCCTCGTTACAGCTGCTCGGTCGCGCTGCTGTTTATTGTCTAAGTCACGGCAAGACCCGTGGCAGCAGCTTGCCCCAGGGGTAATCACTGGTTATGACTGTGCCGAACAGCGTCACCGGCATTTGAGTGAGGCTGCTGCAGAAGGAGAAAAAAAAACCCTGCTTTTCAACACGGAGGTGGTGGAAAATGCTGCCGCACGGGGACTAGAGGCTGCATGTTGCCAGGCTTGGGGACGGCATCTCCCCAGGGCTTTGCCCCTCAGCATCACCCTTGTGATGGCCAGAGAGGCTGCGGCCTCAGGGGACGGATGGATGGGACTGTGGCTCAAGCACCCCCACCCAGCCAGGCACCCCAAAACCAGCCTTACCTGATCTTGAGGTATGCCGCCGCCCCAAAAAAAAGCACCACCACCACGATGACTGTCACGGTTATGGCCACGATGCTCCCTGCGGAGGGAGGGTCCATCAGCACAGTCAG